CCCTACCTCTCACCTTTGACAAAAATCAAGTCAAGGTGGATCAAGGATCTAAATCTAAGACCTCAAACTATAAAGCTGCTCCTGGAAAACACTGAGGAAACTCTGGGAGACATTGATGTAAGGAAAGACTTCTTAAATAAGACCCTCAAAGCACAGTCCATCATCCCTAAAATAGACAAGCAGGATTACATCAGACTAAGAAGTTTCTACATGGCAAAAGACACAGTAATTAGTGTGAATTGACAGCCCTCAGAATGGGAATATATTTTTGTAAATTTTGCATCAGATAAGGGACTTATAACCAGAATACACAAGGAACTAAGGAACCTATTTGGAAAAAAGACGATCAATCCCATTAAAAGATGGGAGAAGGTGTTAAATAAAACACTCTTTAAAGATGACATAGGAATAGCCAAAAGGCATATGAAAAAATGTTCAACATCCCTCATCGTAAGGGAAATGCAGATATAAACAACAATGAGGTACCACCTAACCCCAGTCAAAATGTCTAAGATTAAAAAAAAAAAATGAAAAGGGTTGGCGGGGTTGTGGGTGAAAGGGAAACTCTTTTACACTGCTGGTGGGAATGTAAATTGGTCCTACCACTGTGGAGAATAATTTGGAGATTCCTCAAAAATCTACAAATAGATCTACCATATGATCCAGCAATCCCACTCCTGGGTATCTACCCAAAGGACAGAAGAATTCTTCATTGGCAAAGTCCTGCTAATCGATGTTTATTGTGGCACTATTCACGATTGCAAAGTCATGGAACCAGCCCAAACGCCCCCATATGGAGGAATGGTTTGAAAAACTGGCGCATTTACTCTATGGAATACTACTCAGCCGTAACCTGCTAATCGATGTTTATTGTGGCACTATTCACGATTGCAAAGTCATGGAACCAGCCCAAACGCCCCCATATGGAGGAATGGTTTGAAAAACTGGCGCATTTACTCTATGGAATACTACTCAGCCGTAAAAACCAACAAAACCCTAGCTTTTGACAGAAAGTGGAAAAATATGGAAGATTTACTGCTGAGTGAGGCAAGCCAGACTATGAAGGAGAGACATTGTATGTCCCCACTTAACATATACCGAATGTGTGCACTCTATGACTGAAACGGATTGACTAACGGTTCTACAAACACCAGAGATGGGTGTGCCTGTCAGATGATGTGTATGTGGAGGAGTGGGGCCTAACAAAGGACATTTGGAGAAGGGATACGGAGGTAGAACATTGACGGATGGGGAAGGGTGGTGTTACCGGGACTGGGGAGGAATGTTCACATATTGAAATGCTCACATTGTAAGCTAAACAATGCGATTGAATGTATACACAAAAAAAGAAATAAATTAAATAAAAGTTATTTGTCTTAAATCATGGGAGAATGACTTTTTAATTTTAGGTTTGCTCATTTACTGAAAGTAGAACTTACTGTTAATCTATCCAGTATAAATGCCACCAGCTTTAATAATTATCTTAACCTATTTCCAAAGTGAATTTTAAATTGATTATATGCTACATGGGCCCAAACATCAGCAAGTTTTAGTTTATTATTTCCTTAATTTTATTTGAAGGTCTTTATTGTTTCTTTGTTAGGATTAAATGCAAGAAATCATAATTTTGGTGTACTTTTCACAGCCTGGCTTTAACAGAAAAATACTTAATTCATCTTCAATAAAAATAATAAATGAAAGGTAGCAATGTAAGCCTGATGATGTGACACCTCATTTGTGGAAGAAAAAATTCTTCCTGCATTGTAAGTTCCTTTGTCATATAATTAATGCTTTTTTTAAGAGAGATTTTTGTTCTAGGGCATGTACGCTCACTGGAGAGACAGAGACAGAGAGAAAGTGAGAAATCACCCCAGGAGGGATGGCCACGCTGCAATCCATTCTCCTCTTGGGATTTTGGACACACACATGCGTGCCTGGGATGAGTTTCAAGCTACCGGATCTGGGACTTGAACCACTGTTGGCCTTGTAGGAGTGCAGCATCTAAACCACTGTACCACCTGCTGGCCCCAGTAATGCATCTTTTCATCTTTTCTTTCTTATTCTATTTAATATTTGTTGTTATAAGTTTTATAAAAGTGGGAATATCAACACTGGTACACAAGAAAGAAATCAATAGCATGGTAGTTGGAAAAGGCATATTTTATTTCCAAGTGAGAGAATATTTGAGAGAGATAAATTATAAAGAGCTCAGTACATAAATAAATAAATTTTCACACAGTGAGCTCTCAGAAACAAGTTTAAGTATCTTTTTTGGAAAGAAAAGAAATACTAAATTTTATCACTCATGAATACATTATCAATGAAAACAATTAGGTAGGAGCTTTGTTTTGATTTAAAATAAATGCAGATGGACCTGTGGTCAGTTTTTTTTTTTTTGGGGGGGGGGGGTGTGAGTTTTAAAAGGACT